CGTGATCGCAATCACAGGGCGATCAACGAGAGTACAAATTTCCGTGTCGTGGTATGGGCATTCTTTGAGGCCATGGTGCTGGTTTGCGTGACGATAGGGCAAATCTTTTATTTGAAGCGATTCTTTGAGGTCCGGAGAATTGTCTAACTTAAGTGTATTTGAGAATACACTACGTGAATTAATTGTACATTTTTCTATGTAATTAAATTATGTCTCATTACACGATAAGTCAGCGCAGCGGTAAATACGTTCTCCATTCTCTATCGAGATTAGACCTACACTGTACATCATTAGTATTAAGATATTTCCTATATCTATAAGATTTCTAATAAACAAAGAATTTGTAACGGGATAATATCGAGGATTTAGGCAAATCCGCGAATATTTCCATAACGGTAAAAGTGATCAATAAGAAAAAATTATATATGTAATAACAAAAGAAAATATAATGCATCTTTCTATAATTGTCAGTGTTGCATTTGGTCGGCGACATGTATAATTAAATTGAATTTATTTTATATTTGTTTATTGCTAAAACGTGTTATTAATTAACGACAGATGAAAGTTAATTTTCATTCAGAACGAGTTTCTTATCAGTTATCTCTCTTGTTTCACGTTCTTACATGTTTAATTAACAGCATTTAATTGATAAGAAGTGTCCAACGTGGGATAATAAAGAGACAATTGAGAGGGACGACTTCCTCCGGGATGAAAAACGCATAAGGGTTTGCGATAACGATCGGAGGTCGAGTCTAACATTTTTCTCGATGGCAACGTTTCGTGGCGTAAAGGCCTTCAATTAATGTTACCCCGTTGAGCGGTGGTCGAGAAAAGGGAACACAGAATCTGTTGCAATTAAGGTGATCGATCGCGTGTGTCTCTTTAATCGAGGGGGCACAGAGAGGAGAGAACGATGGTAAAAAGGGATAGATTAATCGATGGCGATTACTGTATTGGCGCGCGCGCGGGGATATTTAACGAGTATATCCCAACGGGTTCGTCTCACGACGACGGGATATTTTTCTGTATAAAGATAGACGCTGAGATGTAGGAGAGACTGGTTGTCGACATCGTCAAAGCGTCCACGATGACGTAACGGATTATCGATTACATTTCCGAGACACGTGTGAGAGCACGTTGATCGGGAACGTGACGCCAGAGCCGGGAAGTTTCGCCGAGATTCGTCGGCGGATAGCGGCCCGATGGTGAAATCGGCCCGCGGGAGCGATCGGCATTGCTTTCCGGAATGGAAGAAGCCAATTAAGGGAGGGGAAGGAGGGAAGAAGCGATCGCGCGTAACGGTATAATTAAAGGGAAGAGAGGCAATCGAGAAAGAAAGCGCCGATGAATAATCCATATCTGTTAATCGCGCGGCCAGGACTCTAACGAGCGGGGGATATTTTTCTTCTTCCTTTTCTTTTCGTAAATCGAGGCTGTTTACCGTCGTGCGCGGCTTAAAACGCCGATTACGAGCGAAGGCCCCGCAATCACGCCGCGCGTTTGGCGCTAAACGCCCCGATATCTGTCGATCTCCATCGGAGCGCAGCCTGCGCCTTGACGCCGAACGATTCTCCTAAACATGGGTAACTTGTTTCGAAGTTCGATGAATTTAATCGATAGTCGACTTGTCCGATAAAACATGTATTATTTAATATGATATTAATATTATATGATATTAATATTAATATTATATTAATATTGATATAGAGTTATTAATTTTTTTGTCAAGTACATAAGTAAGAAATATGTGAGATTATGAACAACGAAGTGGAAATATTGCTCCAAATAATTCTACCGATTAAATTAATTACCAATTAGATTAATCAAAGTTGATCAAAGTTGCCTAGATACTTAGCGAGTTAAATATCTTTCTTGTTATCTTCAATTGTCATGTTCGATATGTTTCAAATTTATATTAACATTTATATCAACATACCGTTATATTTAGCATTTTGGATGTTAATATGTCACATATTTGTCACATTGATTCCTAAAGAAAACTTCCAGGATTTTGGGATATCGAGTGACGGTCTCGCATTACACAAACGGTTTGAAGGATACGAAGGATTAATTGGCGGGTCCGATCGCGCGCGCTGCTTATTCCTCGCCCTGCTACCCCGTCCTCCTCTCGCAACGATCCCTTCGAAGGGGTTGCACGCCACGTCGGATCCAGCGAGTGGCGAGAGAAGAAAGAAAAAAAAAAGAAGCGCGCAGAGGAGGAACGAAAGAAAGGAGCTGCTAATTGACACGGGCGATTGCACGTAACGGTATAATTAGAGAAAAGAATACGGAGAGCCCGGGCCGGTGCACCGATGAAACCAATGAACCAGCCACCGCGCGGCAAAGGGGGAGGGAAGAAACGAGAAAGGCAAAGAGAGAAAGAGAGAGCGAGAAAATGGGCGAGCGGAACAGCCGAAGAGAGACGAACGGAAAGGCAGAAAAGCAGCAGGGGAGAGAAGCAGCCGGCGGCTTTCGTGCGATCATCGAGGGGTTCCCTCTCCGAGAGAAAGAGCCGCGGGCCTACGAGCTAAGAGAAAGAGAGCGAGAGCAAGGGAGAGAAAGAGAGAGATAAGCGCAGAGACAGAGAAGGGAAGGGGTACGCGACGAACAGAGGGAGCAGGAGAGAGACAGAGGTATAGAACGAAGGGGGAGGAGCGGGAGGGAGAGCGAAAAGAGAGGGACCATAGGCTCGTGGACCCTACCGCGATCATTCTGTACCAACACGCCGCGCCGGTGGGTTTCGCAGCGTTCCCAGTACCCTCCGATAGCACCACGAGGAGGAAAAGCCGTTCTCCAACGAGGTCACTTCCGCGTCCCCGGTCGAGGGAGAGCCCGCGCCGTGGAAGAGTCACCGGGTTCCCCGGGGCACCGAACTGTCGACATCTCCTCCGACGTTCTTCTCGTCGCGAGATACGTGCTACGAGGACGCCGCCGACTTGGGAAGTGGCCCCCCTTCGGTGAAAGGTGCCGCGAGAATTTGCTTGCCTTTTTTCATTCATTTTCCGAGAGCTCGATTCTACCGGGACCAGACTTCATCATCCGATCCCGGTGAGGTCGGTGCGCCGAGGTGCCGCTTCTTGAAGGAGTAGATTCTCCGAAGAAATTTCCGCGATCGTCCAAAAAAGACGATACGCTAGTCTTGGGGCCTGATAATTATCGGATAGAGATCTGGTGGTCTCTTTTGAGAAAAGCATCCCGTCCCTCCACACGCGATCATCGCGGGTCAACCTACGTGGGTCAACCTTGCCGTCCGTTTGAGAGAAACTCGTATGGCGAACCGGCCATTCGAATGCTGAAGAATCGAACAACTTTTACAGGGTACACATAAACAAGCGACTGAAGAAATCGACGAATAATGCACCTCGGTAGCTCGCCTTTACTCGGATGTTTCATCGG